GGCTAACAGGAGCAGACAGACAGTGTGTTTAAGAAATACACTCACCTGCCACTTTATTAGGTACACTTTTTTGTCATTCGAGTACAAAAATGGATTAGGGATTTAATATTTTACTGCTTTGCTTTCTTTTTCTAAGAAGAACCATGATTTTTTTTTCTTTCTTCTAATCCTAAATCCAAAAACAAAAACAAGCGTATTGTAAATATTAATCGGCTATACTGTAGGCTATACACGTAGCTATATTATGAGACTGGCCCCTTGGCGCAGACATGAAAGCACACCCCCAAACTCATGCAGAAAGACTCAAAGAGACAGAAAGTCGTTCTGTGTCTCTGTGTAGTGGAGCTGGTATCTGTTTTTTTCAGTCTTTGATATTCCGTGTAGCTGTTTGATCTACCTTTGCAACAAAACAAGCTGACTGTCACTCTTCACTATACAAAGACTCTGGCCAAGGAGGCCTCCTGTGACTTTTGTCCCCTGAGAGTCTGTCCATTGCAGGCCCAATTAGTAATCAATCCATGTGTATACAATTAGCGTTTATTTAATTCAGAGGCAGACCAAGTCTCATTTGCAGTGGGACTCAAGTAGTGTCTAAACAAGATTGCAAGTTTATTTCTGCTTGTTATAGCAGAGCGGAGCAAAAGATTTAGTCAAGAACTGCTTTAACCGTGTTGTGTTTTGTTTTTAAAAGCGCAACTGAAATTTGACAGGACTCTGTCAGTAAGGCTTGTTGTTGGATTTCACGTTTCACTTTGACACAACAGATTTTTATGACAAGCTGATTTTTAAATATCATTGATTAACCCGGCCTCTCCTATAGCTGGCATTTCAACTAATCAAACACAGATGCAGTGAGTTAATAATTAACTGATTGGCTCACCGCTGCCCCATTCTCAGCCTTGGTGTTGGTGTTTGACATCCAATTTTAAAGTTGAACTCAAAGTGGATTAATCAGGATGGAGCCTGGTTAAGGTACTGCTGAAGGCGCTGGAATTGCCTTACAACAGTGACATATAGCAGTTGCCTTCATTCTGGACTATTTTAGAGTAGAGTGAAACTGTTTTATCACTCACTATTATCACAGATCATCTCATTTTTACATTCTCCTAAGTAGTAAATAAACACTAAATACTCCTTCCAGTCAGTCAACTAGTACAGGTCACTGTATATACAGGCTGGTGGTGGATAAAAATAGATCATATTTATCATTTTCTCTCACTATTGCAGCATTTAATTCTCACATTACTATTCATTAATTTAATTACTCTATAACCAAATGGGCACGACCCATCTCAGGTGCTGTCAGCCTTTCCTATTATAGTGTGCGTGGAGGGAGGATGGTGGCTGATGGTGGCGGTGGGGGTGCTCGTGAATTCGGCTCATCTGTTGTCTTTGCTCAGTAGCTCACAGAGACCTCTTGGCCCTGACGCAATCTCACCTCATTAACATTTTAGGTGACGAGCATGTCAAGGCCTTAATTAACAATTCATGAGCACGGCTGATAGCTATATTAACATTTTACAACCAATAAATCAGCTTTTCCAATCTGCTGTGTGTGTTTGCGTGCACGGGCCCATGTCTGTGTGCATGTGTGTGAGAGATTGAATGGGGGCTTGGGGGGGGGGGATTCTGCATGTGTGTGTGTGTTTGTGTTTCTGTGTAGGGGAGGCCAGTGAGTGGGTGGGTGGTTGCGTTATTTGTGTACATCCACA